TGTAGAGATAATTGGACTGGACAATATTTAATACAATTTTTTATCTCAGGATTATGGTACAAATACTCAGATGCTTCAGAGTAGCTTCTTTTTCTACTCAGTTCTTTTCTTTTTTCAGTTTTTCTTTCCTGTTTCCTAATCCTAACCAAATGGTGAGGAATTAGAGTGCTAAAATGTCCCATATTACTTATCTGTTGCTACATAAAAAAATCACCCTGCAACTTAAAACAACAAACATTTACTATCTCACACAGTTCTGAGGGTCAAGAATCCAGGAGCAGCTTAGCTGGGTGGTTTTGACTCAAGGTACATCATGAATGTGCAGTGAAATTATTGGCTGGAGCTGCAATTATTTGAAAGGGCTGGAGAATCTACTTCTAAGCTCACTCATACAGCTGTTGGCAGGAGGCCTCAGTTTTCCGCATGTGCCTCTCCCCTCTATATAGGGCTATTTTTACAACATGGGAGCTGGATTCTCCAGAGTGAGTAATGAGAGAGAGAGAGAAATAACCAACAAGGAAGTCATGATGTATATTATGACCTAACTTTGGAAATCAGGTACCTTCACTTCTGTAGTATTCTGATCTAGCAAGCAGATACAATGAAATACCAGGAGGTAGGAATTATTTGAGCCATCTTGGAGGCTGATCCCATATATTTCTTTAACTTCTCAACTAGCAAAACCAATGTGTGGATAGTGTGAGAGGACAGAGGTTTAAGAGGCCTATCCTATTTAGGTCCATCCTATTTAGAAGGCACTGAGGTAACTACCACTAATCAAAGATTTTATGATGATTTCTGAATTTTATTTCTAGACATGGATTTAAGTATTTTAAATTTACATATTTAAGTATTTGAAATTATGAATTTTCTCAAATTTGTTCTCAATCATTTAATCTACAAGTAAAAATTAAGAGTTTCTATGCATCAGAAGCTGTCAGGTCAATTATGATATGTGTTACAATCAAGTTATGTACAAAAAGCCAAGGATACACAGAGACAGAGGAACTAAATTTACCTGGGGAGTTGGAGAAGGATTCATAGAAGAGGTGTTTCTGAGTTTTGTTTTAAAAAGTTAATAAGATTTTGTAAGACTGACAAAGAGGTAAACAAGAAGATAAACATTAGAAAAACAAATGCAGAGTTTCAGCAAGTTTCAGAAGATAACATACAGAATGATACTATATTTATAAAGCTATAATTTATTTAAACACACATATTTGATTAAATATAAGTAAGGAATTGAGAAATTCAAACTCAGGTTAGTGATTGCCTCTGGGGGGACTGGGACAACAACAAGTAAGGGAGAAACCAGAGATAGATTCAATGGTGCTAGTGTTTGAATACATTTATAGGATTATAGATGTCAGAATCATGTATAACAATTTTTACATATGAAATATTGTATAGTCATTTTTGATATTCAGTGTATTTTGTCAGCAGAGGGAACAGCATATGAAAATGCATGGAGTGGTGAACGAGCTTAGAATAAAATATAGAGACATAATTATGACAAGGAAATTATAAATAATGCATTATATTTCATAATATACAGTTCAGTATACTGAAATTATATTGGCATATACAAAGGAAAGAAGATTAGAGATTCAATTGAAAGCGACAAACTCAACACTCAGAATCTTGCAAAAGAAGCAAGTACTATTTCTGTATTAAGAGCCAGGAAGCTGATTTCTCCTTTATTGCCTGCATGATGATAAGATCAAGGCATATTACAATTGAGAATCTTGAATCATGTGAATTAATGATAAGTTACAGGAGCAGTTATTATTTTCACCATTAGGAAAGAGGTCTGGTGGATTTTAATTGTCTAAAACTCATCATGTGCCAACAACTTTTGTTCCAAGTGGCGTTCAAATCACAGGGTGGTACTTCATTTAACAACTTACCCTTTTAAACTATTGTGAAGCTGCAAGTATGTTTTAATTATATTATTGCCAATCATCTGAAGAATGGTAATTACTTAGAGCTTTTGGCCAGTATTTCTGATTAAAAGTGCTATGGCAAACTCAGTAGGTCATAGGTTCATGTCCTGAGCCTATTAATTTTCTTCTAAAACTTTACTTTATTCCTTAGACGAGGAATCACTCCACCCTTGGAAAAGATGCTTAGAAAAACTTGACTAATCTGAAGTGAACATGAAATGTAATGACTTTTGCTGTTATCATTTTGATTTACTTTTTTTTTTCATTTCTCTTACTAACCAAAAAAAAAAAAAAAAAAGTGACTAAAGCACTATTTTCCTGTGAGAGATTTGAAATGCTTGTTAATTCAACAAGGTCCAAAATGTTGATGGATAATTAACGGCGATATTTATCTGACCAAGAGTGAGAGAATGAGTTCCTACATGTTTATCTATGAACAAAGTTCAGGATACATTTTTCCTAGGGAAGGGGACGTGATACACAGGAGGAAGTTATGAAGATTGGATTCTTTTCCTTTTCAAGAATAAAGACGAGGCATAATCCCTGTAAGGCCACATTCGGACTTTCTGACAAAGAAGTTGTATCTGTTTTGATAAAAGAAGGCCAGGAGAGTCTAGAGGTATTTTCCAAACCAGCACTAAGGTCTTGCTGAGCTTAGCTGTCACCATAGCTTCCTGGGAACCTTGAACGCCAACCCTTGAGTTTTCTGCTCTTGGTTCCACTGCCTTGTTTTTTTTTTTTTTTTTTTTTTTTTTGCGATACCCGGGCCTCTCACTGTCGTGGCCTCTCCCGTTGCCGGACGCGCAAGCTCAGCGCCCATGGCTCACTGGCCCAGCCGCTCCGCGGCACATGGGATCCTCCCGGCCCGGGGCCCGAACCCGTATCCCCTGCATCGGCAGGCGGACTCTGAACCACTGCGCCACCAGGGAGGCCCACTGCCTTGTTTTTCATTGGTCCTTTGGCAGCTTGATGGATCGTTGTTTTGTCATTAGGTCTGTTTTTTTTGTTTTGTTTTGTTTTTGCGGTACGCGGGCCTCTCACTGTTGTGGCCCCTCCCGTTGCGGAGCACAGGCTCTGGACACGCAGGCTCAGCAGCCATGGCTCACAGGCCCAGCCACTCCGCGGCATGTGGGATCTTCCCGGACCGGGGCACGAACCCGTGTCCCCTGCATCGGCAGGCAGACTCTCAACCACCGCGCCACCAGGGAAGCCCTAGGTTGGTTTTTGATAAAAATAATTATTTCACTTTTAGCCCACTGATGGCATATTCCAGCCAAACTTTACATGTATTTTCTGGGTGTGGGTATGCCCAGAAGCTGAGCATATATGTGTCCTACCACTTTGCACCTTATTTGCAGTTGCAGTGTCTCATCTATATCAAATTTGTATCTTAACAAAGATGTCTCTGATATGAAATCACAGAGGTGTTCATTCCAGAGTTGGTGTTAGATGTCTGACATATAAAAATGCCTGTGACTCATCTTCTCCCTACCTTCCTCTCACCTGTGAGTATCCTATGAAACACAACCTGAAGTCTTCCCTATTTTACATACTCACAAACAGCCTCACAGTTCCTACATCTCTTATTAAATGACTCCCTCCTTCCTTCTATGTTTTATCTCTGCCTGTGACTAGCACATGCTCACTAGATGATCCCTGATACCATGTTTCATTGTTTGTTTTTTTTAACTCAAAGTGGCATCTTAAAAAAATCCTGTTCTCCAGTATCTCTGAACTCCTGTGCCTATTTATTCTCCACTGTCTGATATGAAATTCCACTCTCTGTCCTTACTTCCTCCAATCATTATAATTTCTCCTCTAAAAACAAACTTGTTCTGCATTTCCCAACAATGCAGAATGTGGAAGTATCTTTCAGGCAGTAGAAAAATAACAAAAAATTAAGCAAAGAGAGTTACCGGAAGTTGTCCTTTCTCCCGCTACACATTTTTCCCTCTATGCACCCTATAATTTCACTCCCTGTTTTGTCCTTAAGTCATGCTCTTTAATTCCTTTAAATGCATTCTTAAGGTAATAATAATCTCTTATATTTTATATTTTGGGATCATGAGTTTTAATTTTAGGCTCTTTCTTCTCTTTGTATCTGTCACCACCAAAGAATAACAGCCCCAACTCATTGATGCTCATGTGGTTCGACTAAATTTTTGGAATTTACAAATATACAGGGAGGACTGGCTCTTTTCCTCGGGAGCTGAGTTATGATGATCCAGGAGTGAACAACATGTAGAGGCCATTAGCAGGGGTTTGACTGAACAAAGTCAGACAAAGTATCTCTGAGAGTTTGCACTAAATAGATTCACTGTGCACGTTTACTATTAGTGGAAGAGATTTTATTTTTATTTTCAGAGAGAAACAGACCCTCTAAGATAAATAGGTTTTGTTCAGATTATGTACGAATTGATTAGAATTTGTATTTACAGAGCTAAGACTAGATTCCTAGTTTTCATGATTGCTAGCCTATGACTTTTATTTTACATTATTATAGGCTACTAAGAAAGAGAAGCCTTAGTCTAGGAGTTATAATAACCTAAGCTCTTGTCACAGCTCTGTAAATACAAAGATTTGCTATTCTTGACAAGATTTGTCACTTCTATGCCATAATTTACTCATCTGTGTAAAAGTTGGGATTGTAACTACCCTATATTTTTTGCTGAATTGTTAGAATTGTGTTCACTATGAAGGTTACATAAGTGAGATATAGTATATTACATGCTTTCTAATTGGAAGAATATTTCAACAGCAGTAGTAGCAATTTCTGATGCTAATGTTCTTTCTTCAACTTTTATTCTTTATTCTTCTCTTTCAGTTTCTAAATTTCTTTGACTTCACTATCATCACCTCCCCACCACCAACCCCCCCTTTTTAAAATTACATATTGGATTTTGCCCATAGGTAATCCAATGATAAAATCACACTGATAGTTGAAATAAAAAGTTCCCCTTATTTTTCTTGGGTAAAATTTTGATAACATCAATTGTCCTTGTCAATTCTATACTTGGATATTAGTTATAATAGTGTCTTTTCTTCTCATTTGCACAGGAAATGACTTATTTCTTGTAGCGGTTCATGAACTGGGACATGCTCTTGGACTGGAGCATTCCAATGACCCTACTGCCATCATGGCTCCATTTTACCAGTACATGGAAACTGACAACTTCAAACTACCTAATGATGATTTGCAGGGCATCCAGAAAATATATGGTAGGTTACCACTGATTCTATTTGGTTAACCCTATAGTGAAGTGCAGAATTTCTGCTCTGTTTTCTTTGTTGAGATAGATGCTCTAAGTATATTAGAGAGATAAATACTGAAAAAAAAAATCTGGTCTATTGACAAAAGTCTTCTATCAATCAAGTTTAGTTGGCAACAATCCCAGATACCTTAATATGCAGATAATGGGAAAGTCTAGGCACTGATAAACTTTTCTTACTGAGTTTAATTGAAACCTGAAATTATAGTAAAGGTCAGTTAAGCTTTAGTATTTAAAATTCTGGTAAAAATGTAATAAATGAATATAACCAATAAAAACAATGAGTCATAGAAGACTTTCATATAAGATACTAAGACTTTGGTAAAAGCTGACAGATTGATTCTCAGTTTATGATATTTGTTGGTAGATAGATGCTAGACAAATCACTTTGGAAAATGCTGAAAATACTCTTGTGTGATGGATGTAACAAAATGAACTCAAAAGCATGTAATTATTGACTAAGAGGTAAAAGGTAACAAATGGCTAGGTTTACTAACACATAATTCACAATAAATTTCTAGTAGAGTAAAATAATTTTAATTTATGGAGTTCAGTCAATGAATGCAAGGTAAGACAAAAGGAAGAAACACTATTACACATATTTACTATAATCCTAACTCCCTCAATAGGACCATTGACCTTTATAAAAACATTTATTTCACACAATTAAGAACTTGTGTGTTAAGAACTTGACATTTATTATTTACATATAGAGAATATGCTTTACTAAATTAGTGAAGTAAAGCTTTCATTTTACAATACAAAAACAAATGTGTGCTGTCTGTAATATTCAGTACTCAGAAGATGTCATTTGCATTTTTGAATATCAGAGTTTAAGTTCACTAATCTGTTTTGCATTCATGAATTTTTCAAGTTCAATGTCTCAGTGGTGACCATTCTCTCAAGGTTAACATTAGTTTTGGAGAAAAAGGTCAACTTTTGTGCTGCTCTTTATTTGGGGGATACTGAGAAAAGAGAAATGTCCGGGACTCAAAACTAAATAGCTCATACGATGAGTGAGCTAGTCAATGCCTATGTGTGTGTCATCAGAAATTCTGCCAAAGTAGTTAACTAAAAGGAGGGTCTTTCTCATGACCTCATGAATTAGTAGTCTAGACTGAAGGTCTGCAAAAGAGTATTCTTTCCATATCTAAATAATAAGTGTGAACAGCTCTGTATTTCTTTTTAAAAATATAAATCCCTTGAGAAATGATGTTTACATCTGTACCAAATTACATCTATAAACTTTGGCTTGATTTAGAAATATTTATTTCTTTTTAGAAATATATATTTCTTTTTAGAAATACTTCTTTACATTAATATTTTACTAGTGGTGTTTTAATCAATAGGTGTTTTAGATTCAGTATTCAAATGAAACACTCTTCTAGCAATCTGTGAAAACATTTCATTAGAACAAAATAATGAAAGTCAGGAAAAGTTGATAAAATACAGTTAGATACATAGGGATAGAATAAACTTTGATTTGTTAATGAGCTATTAACAATATTAGAAATATTTGCATAGAATCGTCTATCAAAATCTAGGATTAACTTTGGTGGAGCTTACATGCATAGTTCCAGTATTCATTTTAATTTATTTATGATTAATACACCACCTACTTCCAAAAAATTATTTGAAACAGACTTTCCAATAAGGGCTGTGGTGAAGCTACTTTAAAAATCATTAAAAATTAACAAAGCAGGCCTAGTTACTTGGATCCAGAATTCAGCACAATAAAGACAGTTTCCGATAGACTTGGCAATGGTTTGTTGGGTAAGATGGTTTGTTTTTTCAGGAAGTATACAATCTTAAAGACCTCTTAGCTTGCTTAGTCTGAACCCTCCAGTGATAAGTGATTGTCCTATGTAGCATATTTTCCAGCACTATTCCAGTTTTAAGTGAGCCAAGTGCTGTCCTCATATTTTCAAAAGGTCCACCTGACAAGATTCCTCCACCAACAAGACCTCTACCGACAGTGCCCCCACACCGCTCTAATCCTCCAGCTGACCCAAGGAAGAATGACCGGCCCAAACCTCCCCGGCCTCCCACTGGCAGACCTTCCTATCCTGGAGCCAAACCCAACATCTGTGATGGGAACTTTAACACTCTAGCTATTCTTCGCCGTGAGATGTTTGTTTTCAAGGTAGGAAGCTGTGATTTTTTTTTTTAATGGTAGATCAAGTGTCTACAGTGTCGCTTTAGAAAACAAGTTCTCATTCATTCTAACACCACCTTCCCAGACCTCTCACAGTTAGAAGTTTCAAAAAAAGTGTCTTAAAATAAAATGCACAAATGGGCTTAAATGTCTAGCAGAAAATTGTTGTAACACTCTATTTTGGGAATGCATTTATGTCAGCAAAAGCTAAAATGCCTAGAAATGTGAGGCTAAAAAGTGCTGTATGTTATGAACAGATAAAAAAGCATAATTTAAATCATGAATAGGAACTAATAGGGATGATTTGCTTGGGAGCTTAGCCACTTCCAGGCGTACTGCAGCTACTCTATCTTTGGTTTGCACATCTTTATGAGATCCTTATAATTTCACTAGACAGTTAAAGCATTTTTTTTTTTTCTGAGGAGTATTGATCATTTTGTTCAGGGTCTACTGGTAGCCATTTACATTAAATCTCCTCTATGAAACCATCACTTTGATTTTACATATACATGTTGTTTTCTTTAGGCACGCATTTATAGCTATCTAATTTACATTGTTTTTTAAAAGGTTACAAGCTAAAACTAATTTTACATTTTGCTATATGTACTTTTCAGTGACGTTGAGTTCTCCAACAATAACACTAAAAAACAGTGTATCAAAATAAATTATATATATTAAAAAGTGAATGTAATGTAATACTGAAAAATATTTTCCCCTCAATGTTTATAAACCAATCTTAAAGATTAATGAAAACTGTAAGATTTATGTTGGTATTAGGGCACTAAAATAGCTACATTTTACCAATACCATCCTTTTAAAAATAAAATAATGTGCTCTCTTTTTCATTAGACATGGATCAATAAATATTGAAATATTGCATTACTTATCCTATCTACCAGAGGCCATACTTTGAAAATATAGATATTATATAATTTTTAATAGGCAAAGTACTTTATTTCCTATATTGGAAATTAAGATTTGGATTTAATATAATATGCATAAGAGCATCATAATTTCCTGGAAAAAAATCAATGCTTTTCTTCAAACACATGAATAGATTTTTGAATTTTATAAATGCCCTGCAATGCTTAGTTAGATATCTCCCCTTTAATTTAAGTAGATTAATAAGTTTAGATTCAAGGAGTAAAGAAAAAAAGCTTACTATATATATGTGTATATCTATATATATATACATATATATAGATATACACATATACTCATACTCATTGTGGCTAAGCCCACAGCAACTAGTTGAAATGAACACAAAATGCACTAATTTGTTTATTCTACAAGACACCAAATGACAACTGATTTTTTTTTTCACTGTTTTGGCTGAATTTCCACATCCAAGCTTTATACCTTGATATGCTGATATCACCAAAGTGGTGTCAACTTTATCTGAGAATAAGATACGAAATTGACTCTGGGTACATTCATTTCATTCTTCTTGTCTGTCTAATTAGATTGCCGATCTCAGAAGAGACCAGTATCTTCATGTCTAATGATCATTTTTACCAACTTTTTGCTCTGCACATTGTGGGAGATTAGTGAGTGCTCTGATTGACAAAATGAGATCCTGTGATGGCTGGTTCTTCGAATCAGGAATGAGTAACAAGCACACAGACCAATTCTCAAATAAAATACAGTGGCCACTGTTTTCAATGTCAAAGCAAGTGTATAAGGAAACATGAGTAAGGCCTGCTTCTCTAAACTCTCATGGCACCTTGGATTCCTTAATCAAAACTCTCTGCAGGACAGAGTTCCTAAACTCTGTCTGCATTTAATTTCTTTGTTTCGCTAGCCCCTCCTCTCTTTCTGAGAATAGGTTCTGTAGAAGATATCTTCTGTATAATTTTTGTACTCATCTCCTCTTTTATATAATGAGTATGTATGCCCAGGGTAGTTTACCAAGTCCCCAGGATGTATGAATAGAAAGTAACACCCCAGTCTTTATGGAGCTCATACTCCAGGAGTGAAGACAAACATAAACCTAAGTACTTTTAAGATACAAGAGGAAACGACATGAAGAGAAAGAACTGAAATCCAGTTGAGTAGGTGAAACAACTTGACTGAGAAAAGGCTTATACTGAATTTTGAGAGACACTTCTTAGGCACATTAAAAAGATTGGTATTTGACATACTAAAATGTTGATGTACTGTGGGAGAGAAGATAGACATATTAACTCTAGTGCAAAGTGATAAATGTTATAAATCAGAAATATACAAGATTTGATCAAAGGGAAAAGAGGATGATTGAGTGACACCTGCTCCTGGTAAATAGCTACATGGATTGGGTAACTAATATGTACCTGAATATAAGCTAAACACTTTACATTGATAATCTCTAAACCTTATAATAACACTGCAAGATGAATAGTATTCTCTGTTTTACAAATGAGAAAACTGAAAATCAGAAAAGTTAAGTAGTCAGTAGTTGAATACAGGCCTACTTGATTCCAAAAATCTGTTTTCCACCTTAAGTTTTACTAACTGAAAGAGGTAGGGAAA